TAGTGGTTGTACTTGGAGGAGTCGTAGTAGTGGTAGTACTAGCAGTACTGCTAGTAGTAGTAATACGCGTAGTAGCAACAGTGGCAACCGTAGTAGTAGTCGTAGTAGCAGTAGTGGTAGTAGTAGTAGTAGTAGTAGTAGTAGTAGTGGTAGTATTAGTAGTAGTAGTAGTAGTAGTAGTAGTAGTAGTAGTAGTCGTATTAGTAGTAGTCGCAGTAACAGTAGTAGTAGTGTAGTCTAGTGTAGTATAGTGTGTGTAGTGTAGTGTAGTGTAGTATTAGAAGCACGAGTACTACTAGTAGTAGACGTACTAGTAGCAGTAGTCGTAGTAGTAGTAGTAGTAGTAGTAGTAGTCGTAGTAGTAGTGGTAGTCGTAGTAGTAGTAGTAGTAGTAGTAGTAGTAGTAGCAGTAGTAGTCGTAGTAGTAGTTGTAGTAGCTGTCGTAGTAGTAGTAAAAGTAGTGGTACCTGTAGTCGTGTCAAGAGTATTAGTAATAATAGTGGCATTAGAAGTAGGAACAGCAGCATCGTAGTTGTAGTACTCGGCCTAGTCCTAGTTGTAGTAGTGGTAGTAGCAGAAGTCGTCGTAGTAATAGTAGTAGTAGTAGTAGTAGTAGTAGTGGTAGTAGCAGTAGCAGCACTAGTGGTATTATTATTATTATTGTTAGTAGTAGTAGTAGTAGTAGTAGTAGTAGGTGTAGTAGTAGTAGTAGTAGTAGCAGTAGTAGTAGTAGTAGTAGTAGTAGTAGTAGTGATGCTTGTACCTGTAGTAGTAGTAGTAGTAGTAGTAGTAGTAGTAGTAGTAGTAGTAGTAGTAGTAGTAGTAGTAGTAGTAGTAGTAGTAGTAGTAGTAGTAGTAGTAGTAGTAGTAGTAGTAGTAGTAGTAGTAGTAGTAGTAGTAGTAGTAGTAGTAGTAGTAGTAGTAGTAGTAGTAGCGTAGTAGTAGTAGTAGTAGTAGTAGTAGTAGTAGTAGTAGTAGTAGTAGTAGTAGTAGTAGTAGTAGTAGTAGTAGTAGTAGTAGTAGTAGTCGTAGTAGTAGTAGTAGTAGTAGTAGTAGTAGTAGTAGTAGTAGTAGTGGTAGTCGTAGCCGTAGTAGTAGTAGTACTAGTAGTATTACTAGTAGTACGGGTAGTAGTAGTAGTAGTAGCCGTAGTAGTATTAGTAGCCGTAGTAGTAGTAGTAGTAGTAGTAGTAGTAGTAGTAGTAGTAGTCGTAGTAGTAGTAGTAGTAGTAGTAGTAGTAGTAGTAGTCGTGGTAGTAGCAGTAGTAGTAGCAGTAGTAGTAGCAGTGCTGGCAGTAGTGTTGTTGTTGTTGTTGGTGGTGGTGGTGGGGGTAGTAGCAGTAGTGAGTTCTAGGGCTCCTTCGGGTTCTGGAAGTCTAGGGGTTTTGTGGTTTCGTGTTCAAGGTTTCAGGGTTTAGAATTTCATGGTTTCACAACCTTAGGGTTTCAGGGTTTTCGGATGTAAGGTTTTGCTGGAACTGGGAGGTAAAGCTCACGCAAGTAGGGCTTATGGCACATGGTTTTTGGGTTCTGGAAATGTAGACCCATACGGTGTTGTTGAGTTAAGGCTCTGAGTTTTCGGATTTCAAAGAAGTTAGGGTTGTTTGATTCAAGACTTTGGTGCTCTGGGGTCTTAGGGTCACGAGGTGTTAGATGTGGGTGTTTTCGGGGTGTTAGCGTTTTAGAATTCAGGGTTTTAGGGTTTGAAGTTTTGGTGTGGTTTTAGAAGTTTTTCGAGCTTTATGGCTTCTAATGCGAATTATAAACTCTTCGGGCTTCAAGGTTTCAGGCTCGGGTGTTCGAGTTTTGGCGTTCTTGGGTTTTAACGTTCTAGGGTTTTACTTGTTGCGGCTGTGAACTCTCTGGGTTTAGGATTTTCGGGTTGTGGGTTTTGAAGGTGAAATATGTAATACATTAGAATGTCAATTGTGGGCTTTTACGATTTCAGGGTGTTACGGTCCTGTGATCTGTGTTATGCGCTCTAGGGGTTTTAGGTTTCTCAGACTTATAGCACTATTAGGTTGTAAGGTGTTCTGCTTCGTGCCTGGCCCTTAATTAGGGCGCCGAGGCGGTCCTGGCCCTTTCCTGAGGCGCCCGAACGGTCTGAGTTCTAAATAAGAGCCCTCGGACTTCCAAATCTTAAAACGCTAAGACACTAAACCATCAAAATCGCGAGCCTTAAAAGCCGAAAAACCGAAAAACCTGCAACCCTCAAGCTCTAAACCCTAAGACCTTCGAGCCTTGGAAATCTAGAACCCTGAAACCCTAAAACCTTGATGTACAAAACCGAAAACCCTGAAACCCTGAAAACCTAAAGCCTGCAACATCCCAAATTCAAGAACCCTGGAACCTGAAAGCCTCAGAACGGAGACTAACAACCCTCACACTTAAAGGCTAGACTGCTAGAGCCCCAGAAGCTTGAAACTCTGGAACCCGTAGAACACAAAAGCCGTAAAACCGTAAGACCCCCAGGTTCTTAATCCTAACATCTTAAGACCTGTAACCTAAACTAAAGCCGAAACCTCTTGACCTAAATTTCTAAAGCCCTAATATATAAACCTTAAAGCCCTCGCCTTACTTAAAGGGGCGGGGGCTGCTTGCGCGCTCTAATTCAGGGCCAGGATCGCTTGCGTGCCCTACGGGAAATCTCCGGAAGACCTGCCAGCAGCATGAACTTCAAATACTCTTTTTTAGTATCTCGATGTTTTCAAAAACGCGTCCGAGATCCTGAAAACCAAATCCTCGAGGAGGGTCGGGATATTGTATTAACTTATCGATGTTAGAACCTCGTTTGCTATCTTGTTTCTCGATGCCGATTCTGGATGCGTTTGCTTTGGTGTCTTATCTTCTTCTACGATCGCGATTTGGTGATCTAACAGACCGAGCGTTCTTTTCAGTTGATATACCTTCCGCTTTAGTATGTACAGATCTTTCATATACATATGTACAAGACTTAATACACGAGCTGATAGTTTTCTACAGGTGATAAATGTTCACCCATCATAAACAGTAGGAGCTCGCACTTCAAATCTGTTTGAACTCGTGGCTTCAGTCTTTTTTTCATACATGTATATGTTCATGTGCATGTATATATATAGTTGTTGAGGAATATGTCTACGTAAATGTATGTGTATATATTGTTAGATATTTGAGATGTATAGATGTACGTATATGTATATGTATTCGTATTTGCATATGTACATGCGTACATCTATATGTATATGTACACGTGTATGGACATTCATAGGTGTATGTATTTGCATACGTAATGCTTATGTACATGTTTATGCATATGTAAATGTAGATGTACACATGTATACGTATACGCATGTGCTTATGTACATGTACATGTACATGTTTATGTATGTATACATATATATATATATACATGCATATGGTCACGCACACGTTTTGTGTGTATGTATGTATATATATATATATATATGTATGTTTATGTGCATGTACATATACATATTATATATATAATATGTATACGTATACGAAGATGTTTGCGTATATGTTGTGTACATTTATATGTTCGTGCATCTGCCTACCTATGTGCATAGGTATAGGTATATGCCCTTGTCAATGCGTATGCATATTTTTATCTACATGTATATGGAGTTGTAAAGGTCTAGGTCTATGCATTGTCTATGTAAATGCATGAATGTATGTATGAGTATATGTATATGTATGTGTATATCAATTTGTATATGAGCATGTATGTGTAGATGCATATGTATACATGTACATGTATATCTATATGTTTAGGTATATGTTTATGTGTATGTATATGTATATGTACTTCTATGACTATGTATATGTATATGTGCATGTGTATGTATATGTATATTTGTATGTATATGTATATGTATACGTATAGGTGTGTATATATATGAAAATGCATAGGTATAGGTGTTTATATTTGTATATGTATATATATATATATATGTATGTGTATAAGTGTATGTATTTGTTTACGTATATATATGTACATATATATATATATATGCGTGCATGGTTATATGCATGTTTGTTAGTTTGCCTTTTTGTTTGTATGTACATGTATGTATATATATATAGTTATATGTATATGTATGCATGTATGTACGTATGTATGTACGTATGTATGTACGTATGTATGTATGTCTGTATGTATGTATGTATGTATGTATGTATGTATGTATGTATGCATGCATGCATGTATGTATGTATGTATGTATGTATGTATGTATGTATGTCTGTATGTGTATATATATATATATAAGATCTATGTGTGGGCACTTCGGGTGCCCTCTGGACGAAGAGTCAGCTCCGTGAGCTGATTCGCTGAGTTCCTCCTTGTCGTCCTGCCCGAGGGGGGAGCGGGGGAGAGGCGAAGGTGGTGGTGGGAAGGGGCTCAAACACAGCTCTCGAGGGATGGAAGACGGCGTGAGCATAGACTTTTGAGAAGGTCCGCGTGCATCTCTTGGAGCGGAGCGGGCGCGCCCTGCACGCCCATGCGAGAAATCCATGCGGTCTTTTGAAAGTGTATGTTCATGCAGGTTCTGTCTCGTGCAGTAGTGCACGTGCGGCATTGGCCGTTCGTTTGGGGAGCATTTCGGCCCCAGGTCATGTTTTCCGGATCCACCGTCGTCACCCCCATGCTGTGCAGCGGTGGTTGCTATTGTTGTGTTTCGTTATTGTTTCTTGCTTTTTGAGTCAAGAGTTGCGTCCCGCAGGGACTAGGAGGCAGAAGCAGCACTGCCCCTCCCTGCTTCGCAGCTGCGCTGGGCGCTCCTATTCCCCCTGGTCCTCTGTCTCCTCCTCCTCCCTCCTCCCTCCTCCCTCCTCCCTCCTCCCTCCTCCCTCCTCCCTCCTCCCTCCTCCTCCTCCTCCTCCTCCCTCCTCCTCCTCCTCCTCCTCCTTCCCCTTCTCCTCCTCCTCCTCCTCCTCCTCCTCCTCCTCCTTCCCTCCTCTGCCTCCTCCCTCCTTCCTTCTCCTCCTCCGGCCGCAGCCAGGCGCACGAGACGGAGAGGTGTCCCCACTTCAAGTGCGCGCGCGACCAGCACCCGGACGCCATGGGGCGAAATCGGGGGTGGCCCTCCTCCAAGACATCGATCCTCCGTCGCTCCTCCTCCCTCCCTCCCTCCTTTTTCCTCCCTCCTCACTCCCCCCTCCTCCCTTTCTTCCTCCTGCTTCCTCCCTCCTCCCTCCTCCCTCCCACCTCCTCCCTCCCCCTTCTCTCTTTTCTCATCCTTCTCCTGCTCCTCCGTTCTCCCCCCTCTTCCTCCTGCTGCCCCCTCCTGCATCCCTTCTCCTTTAAATGACCCCTCCCTGTCGCACCCCCAGACGTGTCGGCATGGCGGGCCAGGCGTTTCGCTTGAAATCATCTATGAGCTCGAAGCTTGAGGGGTGCACCAGTTTCAGGATGGAGGGCGGCTGCTTTGCACCATGTGACTCTCGCCTCAGCGCCGCGACATTCGCCTGAAATAGCAGTTTCAAGGACGTGGGGCGGTTCCATTCAATCTTTGGCTCTCGCCTTCGGGCCGCGCCCATTCGTTTTAACACTTTGCAGAAATGTTTACTTGGTTGGAGAAGCAAAACGGGTATTCAATCATTGGCATCATGTTGGAGTCACTCGAATATCACATTGCACAGCAATACATCTATTTCATGCGATTGTGTTCCCAAAGTTGCTACACAACCTGGAATCATTCTGGTTACATTCTGGTTACTTCAGGCGGATCGTAACCGATGGGGTGCTTTCCAAGCAGCATGTTTGACAAAAGTATTGAAGCTGCCACATGCGTCTTAGCCCAGGGTGTCCAACGAAGAGGTGCGAGGAAGAGCGAAAGCACAACCATTGAGCGCAGACTTACTCTGCAGACCAATCAAAATGTATGACAGAATCGCATATATACCCGCAGACAATTTGTTACGAAAGCTTGTGTGCGAACCTGGAGCGCGAAGTCCAAAAAAGTGGTATCATCATCGCAGGTGTGGGCGCCCAAAAATGCAGTGGGCACCTTCTGTATATCAGCACGTGTTGTCCCAATAGGGTTGCCTCCCTCCCTCTTCCTCCACTTCAGATGGCAGCGCGTTTGGCGGACTGCATCACAGACGCGTTTGGCGTAACTCGTGGCCGCTCAACTTGCCTATGCGCCGTTTGGGCGCCTGGCCCGGCTTGACCAGTGTCAAGGGTTCGTAGTCAGTTTAAGTTCTAGGAATGGTGTTTCAGGCTTGATGTAGGAATGTCAGGGCGCAGTAGTCACGTTGATGATGATGAGGATGATGATGTTGATTCTGATTGCTGATGGTGATGCTGATTATGGCGATGATGCTGCTGCTGATGATGGTGATGATGCTGATGCTGCTGCTGCTGCTGCTGATGATGATGATGATGATGATGATGATGATGATGATGATGATGAGGAAGAGGTGTATGAGTAGGACGAGGATGATCAGTAGGAGTAGGAGGAGTGACCATGAGAGAGAGAGAGAGAGGGAGAAATAAAGCGAGAGATAGATAGATAGATAGAGAGAGAGAGAGATAGAGAGAGAGAGAGAGAGAGAGCGAGAGAAAAAGAAACACACACACAACGAGAGAGAGAGAGAGACGCGAGAAAGAGAGAGAGAGAGAGTAGAAAGGCGAGGATGATGATGAGGATGATGATGATGCTGATGATGCTGATGATGATGCTGATGAGGACGATGGTGATGATGTGGATGAGGAGTAATCGGACGATAATGAGGAGAGGGGAGGATGATGAGGGTGAGGAGAAGATGATGCGGAGGATGACTGACAAGAAAAAGGGGAGGAGGAGGATGAGGAGGATGAGGACGAAGAGTAGGAGGAGGAGGAGGAGGAGGAGGAGGAGGAGGGGAGGAAGTTGAGGTCGAGGCGGACTTCAAGAAGTCACATCCCTTTGAGGGGCGGAAGGTCATCACAGGTGATTGGTCTTCACGGGAACGAGCCCCTGTTCCTTCCCAGCGGTAGGCAGGGCCGCTCTCCCAGCGGAAGGTCAGCGTAATGGCAGGACGCCGTGGTGTGCGGTGGAGTGCACGGGCAGCATTGGGAGAGGTGGGGCATGGCAGAACATGTCGGCATGCCCCGCTGCTGGGCGGCTAAAGGGGGGGCCCGAAGTATACACCGAGTGGCCTGGTCGGCCAATGAGCTCGATGTATCGACGCCCCAGTGTCTACATACCGAATTCCTTCGCCGAGTTCATAGGCTTCTTGGCCGACCAAGCGACACGGTGTGTGTGTGTGTGTGTGTGTCTGTGTGTCCGTCTTTCCGCCTGTCTGGCTGCCTGTCTGTCTGTCCGTCCGTCTGTCCGTCCGTCCGTCCGTCTGTCTGTCTGTCTGCCTGCCTGCCTGCCTGCCAGCCTGCCTGCCTGCCTGCCTGCCAGCCTGCCTGCCTGCTTGCCTGCCCGTCTGCCTGTTTGTTCCTGTGTATGTACACACATGCTTGTATGCATGTATGCATGCATGCATGCATGTATGCATGCTTATGTATGTATGTTTGTGGGTATATCTATATGCATGGGTATGTAGATGTCTATGTGTGTGTATGCATGCACGCATGCACTTATGCATGCATGTAGGTTTGTATGCATGTTTGCATGCATGCATGTTTACATGCATGTATACATGCCTGCATGTATGTATATACTTATGCATGTATGTATGCATGCATGATTGCCTGCACGTACATCTATATACATACACATATATACATGCATGTATGCATATATGCATGTACGCATGTATGCATGTATGTATGCATGCATGTATGTGTATATATGTATTATGTAATATGCATGCGTGCATGCATTTATGTATAGATGTATACATGTATGCATGTATGTATATAGATATGTATGTATTTATGCATGCATGTATGCATATGTATACATGTATGCATGTATGTATGTATGCATGCATGCACGTAGTACGTACGTACGTACGTATGTATGTATGTATGTATGTATGTATGTATGTATGTATGTATGTATGTATGTATGTATGTATGTATGTACATATGTATGTATCCATGCATGTATGTATATGTATGTATGTATGTATGTATGTATGTATGTATGTATGTATGTATGTATGTATGTATGTATGTATGTATGTATGTATGTATGTATGTATGTATGTATGTATGTGCATATACAGGTGTATCAAGCCCCTTCGAGGGACTTAATGGGGATGGGGATAAAAGAAAGAAGGACAAGACAGAAGAAGGAGGGGCCGGCCCGCGGCGCGGCCCCTGCCTTCGCCCGCGCGCGCCGCCGCGCGGGCTTCCGCCGTGCCAGAACGCGCCGGAGAAGCCCCGCCGCAGCCTCCCAACCCGGATGCTGCCCCACACGTGCCCTTCCGTAACGGGCACGTTCCATGGCCAGTGAGTTCTTCCTGGTTCAGCTGGTGCAGCGTACTGGTGGTGGTCTTCGGGGGCACATCCTGGTACCACCCCCGCGCCATTCTGGCTGTGCTCCAACACTGGTTGGTTCATCGTGCATGTGCGCGCTCCTGGGCCTGGTTCCTGGCAGCTGCAGCCCGCACCCCCCTCACGCTGGCCTGCCCGCTTAGGTGCTACTTAGGTCTCCGGACCGACGGCGTTCGGCAATTAGGCTCGTGCGCGGCCCGCTCGGACCCTACTCGCCGCTGGCGCTCTCGCCTGCGGCCGCGACCAAAAAAAATATCCCCACCAGCCTTGCACGTCGACCTGTGACTCCGCTAGGTCCCCCGCTTGTGCCGCAGCGTAGCTTGCTCCTGTGCGCTCTTGTGCGGAATTTAGTCCGCTGCTCGTTAGCCGCGTTTTCTGACGGCGCCTGGCGTTCTCCGGCGCGCTCGCGAACAAAAAGTATCCCCACCAGCCCATCTAGACACGATCGGAGGCTGTCTTGAGGCCTCTTGGAGGCAATCGTGAGCCAGGTTCGGCTTGAGGCTGTCGGAGGCTATCCTGAGCCATGCTCAGCTATCTTGGACCATCATGTGGCTGTCTTGAGGCCTTTTGGAGGTCAGTCGGAGGCTATCTTGGGTCATCTTCGAACTCCTGGGACCATCTTGGGGGTAGGAGGAAGAAGAGGAGGAGGAGGAGGAAGAGGAGGAGGAGGCGGAGGAGGAGGAGAAAGATGAGGAGGAGGTGGAGGCGGAGGAGGAGGAGGATGAGGAAACATAGAGAAGGATGAGGACGGGAAGATGAGGAGGATGAGGAGGAGGAAGAGGAGGTGGAGGAGAAGTTGTAAGAATATGATGGTGATGATGATGATGAGGAGGAGGAGGATGAGAGGAGGAATGCGGCACGAGGAAGAAGATGATGATGATGATACTGATGATGATGCTGTTGATGAGGATAAGGATGCGGATGATGAGGAGGATATGGATGAGGATGATGAGGAGGAGGATGAGGATTGATGAGGATGAAGATGATGATGATGCTGCTGATGATGCTGCTGATAATGCTGATGGTGCTGATGATGATGCTGATGACAATGCTGATGCTGATGATGGTGATGCTGATGATGCTGATGCTTATGATGCTGATGATGATGATTAAGATGATGAGGATGATGAGGATGCTGATGCTGATGCTGATGCTGATGCTGCTGCTGATGGTGATGATGATGATGATGATGAGGATGAGGATGAGGATGAGGATGAGGATGACGATGATGTTGATGATGATGATGATTATGATGATGATGATGCCGATGATGCTGCTGCTGCTGATGCTGATGATGATGAGGATGAGGATGTTGATGATGATGATGACGACGATGATGACGACGATGATGATGATGATGATGATGATGATGATGATGATGATGATGATGAGGATGAGGATGAGGATGAGGATGAGGATGAGGATTATGATCATGATGATGATGCTGATGATGATGATGATGATGATGATGATGATGATGATGATGATGATGATGATGATGATGAGGATGAGGAAGAGGAGGATGATGAGGAAGAGGAGGAGAGGGAGAAGGAGGAGGAGGAGGAGGAGGAGGAGGAGGAGGAGGAGGGAGGATGGAGGAGGACGGAGGGAGGAGGCAAGAAAGGAGGAGGGAAGGGACGGACGATGACAAGGAGGATGAGAAGTCGGGCTTTGGAGGTATGTTGTTGTGAGAGGGTCTTGAAGGACGACGAAGGCCATCTTAGGGGCTCTCTTGGGGCCCCCGTGGGCCTCGTGGGACACTCTTGGGACACTCTTGGGGCCCTCTTGGGGCTTGTTTTGGGGGGTCTTGGGGCCCTCTCGGGCTCCTAGGAGGGGTCTGGAATGCCCCTTGGGGCGATCTTGGGCCCCGAGGCTCCCAAAGGGGGGGCGTCCTAAATTCGGGCCTTGCCCTCAGAGGGAGGAGGAGGAGGAGGAGGAGGAGGAGGAGGAGGAGGAGGCGGAGGAGGAGGAGGAGGAGGAGGAGGAGGAGGAGGAGGAGGAGGCGGAGGAGGAGGGAGGAGGGAGGAGGAGGAGGAGGGAGGAGGAGGAGGAGGAGGAGGAGGAGGAAGGGGAAAACGAGGACGAGGAGGAGGAGAAGGAGGAGCAGGAGGAGGAGGAGGCGGAGAGGCGGAGGAGGCGGAGGAGGAGGAGGAGGAGAGGAGGAGGAGGAGGAGGAAGAGGAGGAGGAGGAGGAGGAGGAGGAGGAGGAGGAGAGGAGGAGAAGGAGGCGGAGGCGGAGGACGAGGAGGAGGAGGAGGAGGCGGAGGCGGAGGTGGAGGCGGAGGCGGAGGAGGAGGAGGAGGAGGCGGAGGCGGAGGACGAGGAGGAGGAGGAGGAAGAGGAGGAGGAGGAGGCGGAGGAGGAGGAGAAGGAGGAGGCGGAGGCTCAAGAATGACGTCTTGGGGGGCCCTCTTGGGGCGCTCCTGGGGTGCGAAAAAGCTGTCGCCCGCGTGCCCGTGCCGTTGCTGCCCACGTCGGGCGCGGGCGCGTGCCGTGCCCGCGCTCGCGCGCGCGAAGGGCAGGTGCTGCCCGCGTGCCGATCCGTGCCGCGCCGTGCCGTGCCCGTGCCCGTGCCGTGCGCGCTCGCCGACGGGGCTAGGACGAGGACAAATCCCCTGAGGTCCTGGCGGCTCAATGTCTTCGAGCCGGGCGTTTTCGCTCCATCTTGGGCCCTGGTACCCTCACAGATCGATCTGGCCGGGAAACTGACGCAGAAAGACAGGGTCTAGGGCTCCAGGAATGATTTTTCACGATGTCGGTTTTTTTTTGCGACGTCGGATCTCAGGGAAGTCCGTTCCAGAGCGTTCCGGAACGCTCTCCTCTCAGAGCGTTCCGGGATGCTCTGAGAAGGCCGCGGCGCCCGAGACATGCTCCAGAACCGCCAGATCTCAGAGATCCCCGATTTATCCCCACCCGATGTTATCCTCGTCCTGGCCCCGTCTTGGTTTAGCCACCATCTATCTTCTCGTGCAGCGTTGGTGCTCGGGGCCTCTGTGCAGGTGCAGCCCTTGTTTGTCCTTTAGTGCGTCGGAGGTCTGGGGTCGAGTCGGCCGATCGATCGATCGAGCCGATCATGGGGAAGCTAACAGGTACTGATACCGCTACTCCCCGGACTTCTCCTGGGGTGCGTTCTGACCAGGATTTCGAGGCGAATCCAGCACCTCTTCCTCCTCTGAGATCGGTCGGGGCCGAACGATCGCAGCCGCGGCGGCCGTGCCCGAAGGACGCCTGGCAGCAGTACTCCGGGGCCCCGCCGGACAGGGCCCAGGCCAGCCGCCAGTGCGGCGCGCCGAGGGCGCTGCCGCGCCACGCGGCGAGCGTCACCGGGCTGCCGCCCACGGAGGAGGGTTGGGTCGGTCTTCAGAGGTTCCCTGGGATCCTCGCGTCGAGAAGCTCCTACTCCTCCTCCGCCTCCTCCTCCTCCGCCTCCGCCTCCTCCTCCGCCTCCTCCTTCTCCTTCTCTTCCTCCTCCCCCTCCCCCCCCCTCCTCCACCAGCGACGGGGTCGGTCGTCGGAGGTTCCCTGAGATCCTCGCGTGGAGAAGTTCACTTCTGGGAGAGGGGGTCCTGGAGCTATCCCGAAGTCATGCGTTCCTGCTGGTGATTTTTCATTCGGTTGGTTGTTCCAGTGGTTTCTGGCGTTCCTGCTTCATACACAAGGACCACAAGGACTTCGATCGTGATTCGTTGCGTAGGGAATTCGACTGCAAGTCGTTGACCCAGATTTCTTCTGTGACTCTCACATCGGGAATCTCTTTGTAAATCCTTGCGTAAGGAGTTCTTTCATAGCCAATTCCATAAGGAATATTGTTGTGAGATGCTGCGATAGGAATTCCATTGTACTCCGTAGCAGAGGCAGGAGGAGTTTTATTGTACCCCATGCAGAATGAGCCCCACTGCGCTCCATTGCAGGAGGAATATTATAAGACATCTTCATGGGATGATTCATCGTGTAATCACTAGCACATCGAATCTAGGTGTCTACCATAGGTGTAGCTTCAATATACTTGTATCAGAGATGTAGATCTGGCAGAGTTTATTTAGAAGATCAGTGCTGGTAAGAGTGT